CCTCTGGATGTGTGTAGAACTAACGCCGGCATGCCTGTTTTTGAGCAACAGTGGGGAAGCAAACTACACTTGAAGCAGCACTACAAGATTTGACAGGTCATATTGAACAACTTTGATCTGATTGTTTTGCAATGGACATTGGGCTGTTTTTTTTGTTTTTTTGTTATATAAATCATGTATTGAGGGTGATTTGCTCAAACTGGAGGGTGTAAAATCTGGTGCAGCTGTGCATAGAAACCAATCAGCTTCCAGTTTTTTTTTGTCAAAGCTTAAAGTGTTTCTAAAGCCACAACAGTAAAATCAGTCTGTATATGCAGTAAAGCATGCTTGTTATACTCACTGTGAAACCTAAAGGGTTAAACTTCTGCATTCTGTAAAAAGGCTGTTTGATCCTGACTTCTCTGATCCTCCCCTTCTTCCAGTTCCCCTCCTTTTATCTCCTAATAAGACATATCCTGTGGAGTCACTCTGCACATGCCAAGTTTGGTGTGTATTGTTAGGTTTTTTTTTTCTTGGGAGAGTGCATGTGATCAGCACAGCGCCAATCAGCACTGTCCAGACAGAGGGTCAGGGGTCCTGCGTCCTCCTAGAGCAGAATGAAAACTCCTCCTACAAGCTTTAACATGTGCTCGGCTGGACACTGGTCACAAGACTGCTCTAACTACTGATGAGAAAAGATATTTAGCAATTTACATCTACTAAAATAATTGCATTTCCATGTTCGGTGTACTGTGCGAAACCAGATATAGTGAATGCAGGGTCCTGGGTTTAGTAACACTTTCATCGAACAAGCTGAAGTTAGAAGCTGATTTAGTTACCATGAACAGTCGCTCCAGATTTTACTCCATATTTTTCTCCAGTTTTAGCAAATAAACCCCATTGTGTGCTGGACTATTTCAACCTTGGACTGAAATTTTACTTTTTGCTACCGTGTTTCCCCGAAAATAAGACCTACCCCGAAAGTAAGCCCTAGCGGTACTTTTTGACATACTGCTAATATAAGCCCTCCCGCGAAAATAAGACCTACCTCCACCAGGGAAGAACTGACCATTCGGGCACTGAAATAAGCAAGCATTGAGGGGACGGACTGTGAGGCAGACACTGCAGACATCTCTCCTCCTCAGAGTTTCAGCAGAGGGGTCATCATCCCTGCCACTATGATGCAGACGGAGTGCTGGAGGGGCGCGCAGAGTATGCAGCAGGTCAGTGTAATCCCCCGACCCTGGTGACAGTACTGCAGCTTCATGTAGGAGGAGAGGGGAGCGAGAAAGGAGAGAGAAGAGAAAGAAGGGAGAGAGAGAAAGAGAGAGAGAGAGGAGAGAGCAAGAGAGAGAAGGGGGAGAGAGAAGGGAGAGAGAAGAGAAAGAAGGGAGAGAGAGAGATAAAGAGAGAGGAGAGAGCGGGAGAGAGAAGAGGGAGAGAAGGGAGAGAGAGAAGGCAGAGAGAGAGGGCAGAGAGATGGAGAGAGAGAGAAGACAGGGAGAGAGAAGGCAGAGAGAGAAAAGGCAGAGAGAGAGAAGTCAGAGAGAGAGAAGTCAGAGAGAGAGAAGGCAGAGAGAGAGAAGGCAGAGAGAGCGAAAGGCAGAGAGAAGGTAGGGAGAGAAGGCAGAGAGAGAGAAGGAGAAGGTAGGGAGAGAGAGAAGGCAGAGAGAGAGAGAGAGAGAGAGAGAGAGAGAGAGAAGGCAGAGAGAGAGAAGGTGGAAAGAGAGAAGGTGGGGGGAGAGAGAAGGCAGAGAGAGAGAGAAGGCAGAGAGAGAGGGCAGATAGAGAAGGCAGATAGAGAAGGCACAGAGAGAGAAGGTGGAAAGAGAGGAAGAGAGAGAGAGAAGGCAGAGAGAGAAGGCAGATAGAGAGAATACAGAGGGAGAGAGAGAGAGAAAGAGAGGGGGCAGAGAGAGAGAGAAGGCAGAGAGAGAGGGGGCAGATAGAGAAGGCAGATAGAGAAGGCACAGAGAGAGAAGGCAGAGAGAGAAGGTGGAAAGAGAGGAAGAGAGAGAGAGAAGGCAGAGAGAGAAGGCAGATAGAGAGAAGACAGGGAGAGAGAGAGAACGAGAGGGGGCAGAGAGAGAGAGAAGGCAGGGAGAGAAAGAAGGCAGGGAGAGAGAGAAGGCAGGGAGAGAGAGAAGGCAGGGGGAGAGAGAAGGCAGGGAGAGAGAGAAGGCAGAGAGAGAGAGAGAAGGCAGAGAGAGAGAGAAGGCAGAGAGAGAGAGAGAGAGAGAGAGAGAGAAGGCAGAGAGAGAGAGAAGGCAGAGAGAGAGAGAGAAGGCAGAGAGAGAGAGAAGGCAGAGAGAGAAAGGGGGCAGAGAAAGAGAGAAGACAGAGAGAGAGAGAGAAAGAAGGCAGAGAGAGAGAGAAGGCAGAGAGAGAGAGAGAGAGAGAGAGAGAGAAGGCAGAGAGAGAGAGGCAGAGGGAGGCTTGCTTTAAAACGTACATTTTCGTGGAGCTGGTGGAGAGATCAGTTAGGTTGCAAGCCGGCGATCCCCGCAGGATGGATCAGATCTGTGGATTGGGGAGGATAATGGATCAGACTCCGATTCATTATGCTCAGTCCACAGATCCGATCCATCCTGCGGGGATCGTCGGAGGGGATGTCAATAAAAATAAGAGCTACCCAAAAATAAGCCCTAGTGCATTTTTTTAGCCTAAAATTAATATAAGACAGTGTCTTATTTTCGGGGAAACACAGTATTTCCAAAATAATGCCTCATGCCCTATTTGGTAGGACACATACTTTTATTTATTGGCAAACACAAAGGACTGTTAAACTGAAAACACAAGTTGTATTTTTGAGGATACTATAAATGTCAAATGATTTCATTTTATTATTTAACTTGTTAAAATATAGGCTTGGTTTTAAACAATGATAAATACAATTGTATTTTGTTATACAATAATAACATGCAAACAATACAAGGCAAACAATAAAAAGATAAACAACAGTTTAATACATGCAAAGAATTGGTTTAAAAGAATACTGTGTCTCTAGCATAGAATTCAATGGATTAGATGTAAGATTAGGACAAAAGAAACAAATAATAAAACATCTAGGAGAAGAAAAACCAACAGAAATACATGTAATACATTTGCAGCTGCTGCCTGATTGCCATTGGGAATGTGAATAAGCAAGCCAAGGCCCAAGTATACTTTCACCTTTATTGGCTTTTCAGTGGTAAGCTGATTTGTTTTAGTCCATGTACCTGAAAACAAGAACTGTGTTGTTTTTTGTTGAACAGCAGTTGTTTGGGTGCCAGTAGATATATTAGCTCAAGGCTTAAAAAAAAGAATTGATATTGTTCTGTAAACAACTCAAGAATACAGAACAGTCCATTTTACTGTTATGTACAACACTATGAAACATACACTGAAGGTTATCTGAAATCACAATGGAAATGACCAAAAATTTAAAGGTACTACTCTTAAAGGATTTCTTCTGAATTTCCAGTTATTTTAGTGGGCTAAATGGAGGCCATCTACTGTATAATTGATTTAATTTAAAGTGTTATATTAAAAAAAACATAAAGACTACATTTCTGCAATACCTACACATTTCCTCATGTTTTAACCCATTAAAAATGATGCAAGTGCAAAACTTTTTTTTTTGCAGAAATCCAACATGTTCCCTATGTACTATTTGGGCTGGCAACCCAGTGCTTTTGCTGTAGTGCAGGGGTGTCCAAACTTTTTTCAAAGAGGGCCAGATTGGATGAAGTGACCATGGTGGAGGGCCGAACATTTTTCCGAACATTCTTTGAACCATTACAATTAAATGCAAATAAATTATTTTATGCCAAGTTAATTGCAAACGACATACTTTTTATTTCATAACATTAAGATCAACTGACAGCTGAGTTTTCACAATGTATTGAAAATAAATTTAAAAAAAACTTACCTGCACTAATGTGAAGGGTGAAAAAGGTAGCTGGAGCTGAAGTCTCTGCTTGGCAGCCGGGGGGGAAGAGAAACACACTTCACGCTGGAAGCCCGGCCCTGACGTCACCGCCTTCTGTCGCTCCCAGCGCGGCGCAGTCACGCATGCGCACTGCTCTCAAGCAGAAGACTGTCAGCCACAGAAGGGAGGGCCGTGCGACAGCCGCATTTACACAGACCAGAGAGAACGCGCCGCAGTCAGGCATGCGCACTGCCCTCTGCTCTCAAGCAGAAGACTGCCATAGAAGGGAGGGCCGTGGGAGGGCCACATTACACAGAGCAGGGAGGGCTGTTGGAGGGCCATATTAAACCGACCCCCAGGCCGTAAATGGCCCGCGGGCCGGACTTTGGACATGCCTGTTGTAGTGTAACCTCAGTGAGCATTGTCAGCCCTGCCTGCTGTACTACAAAACTCGACCTGTCTCCCACCGCCTTTGTCCTGCTCCACACAGGGGGTGGTTTATTTCCCATCAAATTAATGCTGCTCCCTTGACTTTCAAGAGGTTGGACAGACAGAGTATAGGGAAAGAGCTTTTGGGAGAAGTAGTTCTGGAAACATCTTGAACTCCTGAGGAAGTCACGTGACGTAACGTGTAGGGTGGGCAGATGATGTCAAGCTGCTAAACCGGAAGTTTACAAACCGCCATCTTGGAAATTTCTGAACACATTGGAATACATTGTAACAAGGTTTTTTTTACTGTGGTGTCCCAGCAGGACACTTTTGAATGTGAGTGCACTTAGTTTTTTTTAATAAATCACACTATATTTAAGTACTACACTATGGCAAGCATTTATGTTTACATATACGGAGGATATGTGGGATAAAGAGGAGACAAGACCGTTTGCAGCAGAGTGAGGAGGAAAGTGGAGCCATCCACACAAGTGGATGGATGTATGGGTTACAAAAAGGGAAAGGCGGTATTTGACCTATGCAATTTGGGTCATATAAGGAGGTGATCAGTGTAGCCCCATCAGTGCCACCTGTCAGTGCTCATCAATGCCAGCTGTCTGTGCTCATCAATGCCACCTGCCAGTGCCCATCAGTGCCACATAGTGCTTACCAGTGCACATCAATGTCACATATCAGTGCCCATCTGAGCTGCCTTTCAGTGTCACCTATCAGTGCTGCCAATCAGTGCCAGTCAGAGCCGCCTATCATTGCCAGTCAGTGCAGCCTATCAGTGCGCATCAGTGCCGCCTATCAGTGCCGCCTAGCAGTGCCAGTGTTGCCTATCAGTGCCAGTCAGTGCCTCCTATCAGTGCCAGTCAGTGCCTCCTATCAGTGCCACCTATCAGTGCCGCATATCAGTGCTATATATGAGTTCTGCCTTTCAGTGCCCATCAGTGATGCCTGTCAATGCCCATCAGTGCCACCTACTAGTGCCTCCTCATCAGTGCCACCTATCAGTGCCCATCACTGCAGCCTCATTAGCGCACATCAGTGAAGGAGAAAAATCACTTATTTACAAAATTTAAAAAAAAACAAAGAAAAAACTTTTTTTTCAAAAGGTTCAGTAGTTTTTGGTTTGTTTAGCAAAAAATAAAAAACCCAGAGGTGATTAAATATGACCAAAAGAAAGCTCTATCTGTCTCAAAGCTCTATCTGTCTCAAAAAAATGATGATAAATTGTCATTCAAAGTGCGACAGTGCTGAAAGCTGAAAACTGGCCTGGGCAGGAAGGGGGTATAAGTGCCCAGTAGGCAAGTGGTTAAGGATACATGTGGATATAAGTAATAAAGAGCACCTGTTTGGGAATTAATCATACGGATATAATCACACATCAAGGACTTTTAAGTTGGAATCATTGTATTCACATATGTTTAATAATCACATGGTTGGATGTTTTGATGTATATAAGGATATATAAGCGGCACTAATATGTGATATAGTTCTGGGAGTGTGCCTACATCAATAAAAACCCAGCATCCTGCAGCCCCCCAATGCAACAAAATTTCAGGTCAGATGATGTTGTCACAAGGAGTGATTCTCAGTACGGGGACAGAAATAAAAAAATAATGCTGGTACACAGTGGTGGGAACAGGTCCTCTGGCACCAAATGCAAGGATGCCAAAGTCCCCCCTTCATCTGCAACCACCACTCAGAACTGAAATGAATGAAACTTGCACAATCACATATACAATGACTATACAGATGAGGATACTGGAATAACAGCTTCTGTCCACCAGTCCCAGAGTTCCTGATAAACCATCTGAAATTCAAGCTCTTGGTGGCCTTATCAGCATCCTTCCACTCAAAATTCTTTGATCTGCAAACAGATGGAGCTGGGTGTAAAATTGTCAGCCAAACATCAGCTGTATCAGAAGAAACACTGCTCAGATATTCTGACAGAAGCCAGTGCCAGCAGAAGAGATTCGTTCATCTACGTTGTTTAGTATGGATGGGGAATCAAGTGATTTCCCTAGTTTAGCTAAGAACACACAATACACCGATCAATGATTGACTCCAGCCATTCATCAAGAAAACATCCAGCATATCATATGATTGATTTGTGTCAAGCAGAGACTCACACACATTGATCGAAGTTTGGCCAGTCCCTGCTGAAGCTTATGGCTATCTTAAAGTGTTTGTAAAGATAATAAAAACAAAAAAAAAAAAACATTTCACACTTACCTGCTCTGTGCAATGTTATTGCACAGAGCAGCCACAAAACCTCTTTTATTGGAGTCCCCCACTGGCGCTGTTGCCTCCTTTCCCCTTCTCAGTGTTTCCATAGAGATGCTATGGGGGCACTTGTGTGGCTTTGATCCTGAGCTGGGCTCTGTGTGCCCATTGACATACATAGTGTGGCACTGCCCTGACCCTCACTCTCTCCACAGGCTGTGATTGACAGCAGCAGGAACCAATGGCTCCCGCTGCCGCCTTCATATCCAGTGAGAGAGAGAGGAGAGAGCCACTGCTCTCAGATTGGGCTCAGAGAAGTATAATGGGGGGGCTGGAGGGATCTTGCAGCAAAGAACTTTTTAACCTTAATGCAGAGAATGCATTGAGGTTAAAAAAAGTCTGCCTTTAGAACCACTATAAGGTTTACTTTAACCTCTTCTGAGATTAAAGGATAAGTTCACCGTTGGGAACATGTTACATGTTCCCCACGTTTTTAGGGTGAAACATGTAGCATGTTCCCTTAGCCGCAGCCACCCTCCCTCTGACAGATAGTACAAGGGGACTATCTGTCAAATTTGAAAACAGCTCGCCCACTCAGCCGCATCATTCATTCATGGACTTCCATGAATGAATAAACTGCAGGTCCTGGCAGGCTTAGCGGCTGTGGGCTTGTAGTTTTCAGTGAACTACCATGGCTCTGTGCAGCTCCATGGTAGTTCATTGAAGCTTCCTGTCAGAATATCTGCTTGACCATACATCCCGTACAGCAAGAAGATATTCTGTCAGGTCTGCAGCTGACCTGCATGGCATCAATGATCTACTGATTGCTGGTGCAGTGCTTTCCAGACTCCTGTAGACAAAAATAATCAATGCACATTTTTTACCTGCAAAAAAATTAGCATCTATTATTTTTGTCAAAAAGGTGAACTTATCCTTTAAACAGAAATAACTTCCCTTCTGAACCGGTCCCTCTGCTCTGTATGCAGCACCTCCACCACTATTTGAGTCTCTTGACCAATTAAGTTGGTTCACCTGCTACTTTCCCTTCTTCTGCAGGAGTGAGATAGAAGCAGTTGTCTTGTCTTCAGAGGAAGAAGTCTGACAAGCCACAGGACACATTTCTGTGGGGGTTTGTGTTATCAACTCATGAGCAAAATAGTTTCTTGCAGTATGCCTGGGTTTTATATGGACAGGTTAATGCTAATAGCTGTATTTTACTTCTTTATGGACTGTCTGCAAATATACCAATGGAAGGCATCTCAGTATTGATGGCTGGGTAATGTCTGAACATACCCTTTAGTAGGGGCGGACTGACCATTTGGAAACTCGGGCACTGCCCGAGGGCCCGGGGTCAGTAGGGGGCCCCATGAGATGCCCCTAGTACCTTTTTTCATAGGCTTTTTTGAGTTAGGGCAAGGACACAGGGGCCCCATGATCCCCTATTGCCCGGGGGCCCCATGAGTTTTCAGTCCACTCCTGCCCTTTAGGCCTCCTTTCAGCTACAAATTGAGGAGCATTGAGCACTGAGGGCTGAAATGGAAGTCATCCTACACGCACCCCATCTCGGAGGCCAGGCAAGGAGGAGCCTGCACAATGGTGCAAGACAGAAAAAGACAGTCAGATTTAAATTGGGCTCAGATGAATACCCACATGGAAGAAAAATATATTGAAAATACATTTTAGAAATATTCTTCCCAAATATATTGACATATATTTGAAATGCTACAATTTTGGCCATATTCAATATATTTCAAAATATAATTATATATATATATATATACATACTGTATGTTGAAATGCATTTTTATAACAAAATATGTGAAAAATATGTTTAAAAATACATTTTAAAATATGCTGTATATCTTTAAAAATGCATTTAATCTACATTTTTGGAATGCATTTACAAATATATGTAAAAATATATGTTAAAATGACTTTTTATATGGTAAAAAAAATCTGAAGAATATATGTAAAAAAAATATTTAAAAAATATTTTTCATATATTTTGTAATATATAAAAAATGCATTTCAACATGCAGTGTATATATATATATATATATATATATATATATATATATGTATATATAGAATACGGCCACAATTGTAGTGTTTCAAATATATGTAAATATATTTGGGAAGAATATTTTTCAAATATATTTAAAATATATTGTGCTTCCATGTGGGCATACGCACTGGACGTTTTGCTAACTCTCCTAGAAGCCTTTCTTCCTGGCAGCAACATTTTGGCAGACAAAATGCCTGAGTGTGTAACGCATTTAGGATTGTCAGGTGCTTGGGTGTTAATTCATTTTATTGGGTAGAATAATAATTTATACTGGCCAATTAAATTAATTAATGCTCAATCGCTAAATTTGCCTAGGCATGTTTGGACATATTTACTTGTATTTAGGCACATTTACAGGTGTAAAGCGGTTTTTCTGCCAAAAAAGCTGCTTTTCCTGGACGCACTGGCATTGTTTTTTTTTTACTGCCTCTAAACTCCTCTAAAAGCCTATGTGTGTGGACAAATAGACTAACATGCAGGGTTGTTTAGAGGCAGGAAGAAAAATGTCAGACGCTCCTAGGAACAGCAAAAAAAAAAACATCCAGTGTTCATGAGACCTTAAGCAGATATCAGACAGTAATACAGATCTGAATACCCTATCAATCAGTTTAAAGGAAATAGAACAGGCTTTCTGAAGTATGTGATCAAATATTTTACAGGAATAACACCAGTCTCTTCTAAGTCTTAGCATGCATTATGCCTAGTACACACGGTCATAAAATCATATGAAAAATACCACTTTCAAATCGATCGTGCGATAATCTGATCACTAGTACACAGCTTTCGTTTGACATTATTAGAAGGGACAAGCAAGAAAATCATACGATTTTCATTTAATTAGTACAGTTTTCGTCCGAAAATACAATACAGTACAATACATTACATCACTTTCAAATTTTTATTCTGTTGTACAAGAATTTTTGTAGCTTTAGTAACCTCTTCACTTTTGATATCAGACTAGCATGCAAAAAAAAACAAAAACGGGCGATCATTCATCCGATATTCTCACCATGTGTACAGGGCTTTAGATAAAAAAAAAGATTTTCTTTATTTCACATAGCATAATCATGCATAAATCAAATGTATGCCTATGGATGATTGGATGATAGAGTCTGAACAGCAGCCAGACACCTTCAGTATTAGCATAATCCTGGCGAAACAATGGTATTACAGTAAGCTGAAATAATAAAAAAAAAACTTGGGAAAAGAGCTCTTCTAAACCTATGCTGTGAGATAATTAGTTTTCTGCTTCAAAAGATGAAAACCGCTTACCTGGGCCTGTGGCTGGGCTGCACTCATATGAATACCACAGCAAAAAGCTCATATGTAAATGCCTCTTGCCACTGTAGGCTGTACACTTTTTCCCAAAGAAGTTTAAACCACCTTGAAACCAACTAGAGTTCCACCATGTGAATACTAAATGTTACAGTATATTCAAAGAAACTCCATGGTTTTTTCTGGCAGAAGCTAATGACAGTGACATTATTTGAATTTGGGTATTCTTTCTACCATTTGGAGTGCAATGATACAATCCAGACAGGGCACATTCTTATTTAGTATTTACCCAATACGTGAATTGTGCTGAATGCTAGAAGAAGCTAACTGTTGGAGACAGTTCCATGCAAGCTTTAATGCTGTGGTATACACATAGGCATTGCTGGATACCAGCACCCTGTGACACATTGCCTATGTCCTTGGCTTAGTGCAACATATAGAAGTAGCCCAGCCACAGGTCTGAGTGAGCGGTCTCCATCTTTTGATGCAGGAAACTGCTTTCCCCACACTGTACCATTAGGAATGTCATCTTATGATTTTGTTAATTTCAAGATGTGTGAATTTGTAGATT